GTAGAGCGAATATTTAGTTCAATGAATATAATAAAAACTAAGCAAAGAAATCCAATGTATGTAAAAACGTTAAACGCTATTTTATATATAAGATACGGTTTAAAACGTGAAGAAAAATGCTGCCATAATTTTAATGTAGATGACGATCTCTTAAAATTAATGAATTCAGGTGATATATACAATAGTGATTCATTTGATGATGAGGAATATACACTCGATATAAATTAATGGTGTTAACTAGTCTTTCGTTTCTTGCGATTTATTTAAATAAAGCATGTGAATTTTCACTAAAACATTTTAGCCGTTTTTTGCCAGAGTCTATGTGAAATTTCACTAAAACATTTTAGCCGTTTTTAGCCGCTTTTTTTTGCCAATCTAGCCGGTCGGCCCAAAAAGTTCTGGCAACACTGATTTGGATACAATATAAAGGCTAAGGCAGTGGCAACACTGGTGCTTAGTTGCTCAAATTTATGAGCAGAGAGAGCGCTTTTAATATGTTTTTGCAATGGCCTTTGCTCGCCGCAGACGTTACGTATACGCACTGTCTGACACAATAAGCAGACGCATTTACGATAGAGCAAAGAGATATGTGCCACTAGGTGTGTGTGTATGTGTGTCAGCATTATGGATACGGATATGAGGTACATCACATTTAGTGCAACTATGTACATATCGAAGAGCCAGCAGCTGGTCCAGTTCACTACATTTTCGATTCAGTTCAGCATGAGAGTCCAACGTTGGTAGACGTTTCAGTTGGCATACGCTTAAAAGGGTTATGAGAAATATTTTACATATGTACATATAATTGAAATAATGAAAATAAATAAATTTGAATGAATATTATTTAATAGTAAAAATTTAATTATCGATGGAAGAAAAATTCCGCTAAAGCCATTTTTCGCAGCTCAAACAGCTCAACAGCGTGCAGCAAAATCAGTTAGCACGAAGTGATAAAAGAAAAATCAACACCTATTTAAGGCGCGAGTGTAGATACAAAAGCGAACAGTAAGCGTTGAACAGCGAGAGGCTGCAACCGAATAAACGGCAAGCATATAACGGATAACTGTTTTAATGACTTTGGAGTTAAACTCGCGAAGTTACCACTTACCATATGCAATGCTACACGCGTGTTTGTGTTAAGCTGATCAAAAAAAAGAAAGCGGTTACAATTAAATAAATTTGTTAAAGATAAAAATTAGTAACCGTAAGTGAAACTGAAGCCATATTTTTTGGAAGCAACAAAAGTTTCTCAACGCATATGCTATTCAAAAATATATCTATACAAACACCAGTTGTCAGTGAAGTTAATATAACGGTGTCCAACTGCAATATTTTTGCTTCCAACAGCCAAAACAGTGCCTCGGTGTCTTTATAAAATAATAGTTTCACACTTGCCAACACACTTAAAAATTTAAAATGACCGAAGTGATTGAACTGAATGTTGGTGGCGTACATTATACCACCCTACTGGACACACTGCTGCAGGCGAAGTCCTCACGCCTACACGAACTATTCAGTAATCTAGATGCGCTAGTGAAGGACAACAAAGGACGCTATTTCCTCGATCGCGACGGCGTACTCTTTCGCTATATATTGGACTATATGCGCGACAAGCAGCTCAGCCTGCCGGAGGGCTTCCGCGAACGACAGCGCCTGCAACGCGAAGCAGAACACTTCAAATTGGCCGGCATGTTGGAGAGTTTGCGCAGCGGTAGCGACATACGTCCACCTGGCTGCATAACAATTGGCTATCGTGGCAGCTTTCAATTCGGCAAAGATGGTCTGGCCGATGTTAAGTTCCGCAAGCTATCGCGCATTCTCGTCTGTGGGCGGGTGGCGTTATGTCGCGAGATTTTCGGCGATACCTTGAATGAGTCACGCGATCCCGATCATGGTGGTCCAGATCGCTATACATCACGTTTCTTCCTCAAGCATTGTTTTATTGAGCAAGCTTTTGATATGCTGCATGAGCGGGGCTTCCGCTTGGCGGGCAGCTGTGGTTCGGGCACAGCGGGCTCGGTGGCGGAACCCAAGCCGGGTGTGGATACTGAGGAGAATCGATGGAATCATTATAATGAATTTGTTTTTGTGAGAGAATAAAAAGCTGTTGACGACGGTAACCGGGCGGTGGGTAGCCGTTATGGTGCATAAGCAACAGGCGTTCATTTGTTTGGGCTTTGCAAGCCAAAATAACTAAATAAGTGAGTTCTAGGGAGAGCGTATATATATATAAACATATTTGAAACATAGAAACTGATAATGTGCATGTAAGTAAGTTCCATTGTAATTAGTATGTTAAGCGTATATATGGAGAAAAAACTATATATATATGAAAAGTAGAATAAAAATGCAAAACGCATACCATGTAAGCTTAGTAACTGCAGCAAAAAATAACACATACCTACATAACTAGGGCCGATATTCAATACCCTCTATCTGAAATTGTTTGGGCATTAACTGTCATTATTGATGTTAACTTTAACTTTGAAATTTAATAGTAAATTCTTCGGTTGATTTTTATATCAGAAACTGAATCTTGTGGAAATTGCAGATAAAGCGTATTGAATATAAGCCCTCGATAAGCAGACCGCAAGTACTTACAACCGCACGCTGTCCAAATTTTTCAGCCAGCAACAGGCCTCGAGTCCGAACTGACTGTAGACACAGGGCAGCATGTCAACGCTATCAGTATTTCGTAGTCCAAAGCGAGAGGCGTAGGCGCGTGTTTGCCATAAATAAAAATGATTTTTTTTTGTTTTTGTTAATGTTTTCTAAATTAGAACTTACAACCTCCAAGTGCTGGTGTTAAATACCACTCAGCCTACGGTAACTTTTTAACGCCTCTAGTTGCTTGAGAAGGTCAACATATCTTTATTGCAAAGCAACTTGAAAGAGAAAAAATAATGAATGCCAAGTAGAAAAGTATTTCTTGGAGGCTTAAATGTGTAAGTAGTTAGAAACGCATGCAGCATTGCTGCTTTTATGAGTACTACGCTGCGTAAATTTTCCAAAGTTAAAATCTACAACTCGCTATGTAGGTACTGCGTAAGGTTGGAAAATACATGTATGCATACATATAAAAATACGTACATACGTACATGCATCCATATGTTTCATGCATTCGCTTTAAGTAGTAAAACGTGTGGCAATTAGCATAAAAAATAAGAGACATATGTCTATGCAAAATGCAAAATAATTATAACTGCCAGAGTACACATTTAGGTACTTACTCTGGTAGGCTGCGTGGAGGACTAAGTACTTAAGTAATACGAAAAGTGGACATTTGAATAGCGTATTTATTTTTATCCAAAGCTTCCCCACTAAAATTGAGAGATAAGTTGAAGCAGGTTTTGTTTTCATATCAAAGGTTTAAGTGCATAAAAGGTATAAAAAAATTCAAGAATTCTTATATAAATATGCATTTTTTTTACGTTAAAAAATGTAATGCAAAATTATATCTCATCCATTAACTTGGATTATGGTAATTTAGGTTGAACAGGCTGTCGGTCGGCTCAATAGCACAACTAGACCCTTATTCCTTATTATTTCAATATTTCTCAGCTACAAGATCGCAAAATTATTGACAAGACTCGATGTTTCCTTTCCCGTTAGGTCTTTTCTTGTATAGATGCCTTGGTTTGGATCGCTGATACTTTTTTCTTCTTTCTCGATTGGCGATATAACCACTTAAACAATTTTGGGGTGAGTTGAACATAGCACGCCAATCGTTTCTTTGCTGTGCTAATTGACACCAATTGGAAATTCCAACTAAAGCCAATTGCTTCTACAACTGGTATTCCCAGCACAGAGAAGGCCTTGTGCTGCCTTTGCTACTACCAGCGGACAGCGTACTGTGTCAGGGCTGGGACATTTTTATCCATTCATACCAAATAGCCAGAACAGCTGCTATATGTATGTACTTAGATTTGGTTAAAGTTTCTGTATCCATGCCAGCGTGCAATAAGAAGTTAATAGGCCCACTTAGGCCTGTAGGTTATGAGACGGTAAAAAGAGAAGTTGATTTTTAAAGCCACAATGGATTATCACACGAGGTTTGTTAACACTTTTCGTTAGGATTCGTTCTTACAAGGGGAGTTCCAAGCGCCCAACATATTTCTGGGAGAGCCTGAAAGTTGTACTTACATACTTACATAAAACGAACCGCTTGCTCACAGAAACACACCGGCGCGCAGCTCCACCTGCGAGACCCACTGGTGGTTCAGGATTGATAATGGTTGTGCAACCGTTACTGTATACCAAGAAGAGTAACCGTAATCCATTGGACTTCTATTTTCGTTGCCAGGTAGGAGAAATTGGCATTTCCGTAGTTTTAGCAATTTTTTTGCACAGCAATTTTAAATACTTTTCGGTGTTAACATAAACTACTTGGGGTACATAGAAGGTTGTGGAAATGAAGTCGTATTAAGGACAAGGGTGGTAAAGGTTACTCCAACTTATGCTTCCTGCTTATGCTCTCTACATATGGAGTATTGAGCCCATTCAAAAAGCTAACCTGGAAGCTAAAGAAAAGTAAAAAAAAGGCTTCGCCAACCTCTGCTATTTTTTTAGAGTGCCATTGGCAAGCGCTGGGTCCTCTCGTTGAACGTGATTCATTGGATCTGTGTAACCGTCATAAATCCAATTTTATTTTGGGATGTCCTCGTTCGGCGCAACGCAATAAATAAACGCTTTTGGTTAATATAGTTGGAGGGAATGCAAAAAACTGTATGGGGAGCACTTCCGACTACCTTTAACCCTGCGTAGATAGTATACAAGGCACGCCGAGATTTTCTAAAGCTTTCAGGTCACCCCAGCCTTAACCGGCTATTGCATGTCGATGCTGGCTGGCAACATTCATGAAATCAAACTTAAGTTAACTTACTAACTATTCCTTATTTACTTACGTATGCACGCATATATGTATGTATATACGAATTGTGGATTTTCAAAAACTTTAATGGCTAATTGTAGCGCTGAATTCATATGATTGTTCGCAAAACCTTTTGAACGAATGCCAAATATACAAGTAAGAGTACTTTGTAAAACGAAATAAGAAGATATGTAGTATGTGTAAATAAGTGCATCCACATATCATTGCCAAGTGGGTGAAAAACTTAAATTGAATGATAATATTTACAAACACTTTGTTGATATGAAAATGAATTAAATAAAAGTATTAAACTAATATTAGTACGGGTCTTAGCATTAAAAAAAATAATAATAATAATTAAATTAAACTACAAAACTAAAGTAGGTAAAATGGATTTTAAACGAAATTGGAGCTGTGGCAAATTTGTGGCTTTAGTGCCAAAAGAACGAAAAGTTTATTATGGTTTTAATTAGTGGACACAAATTTGCAACTGTTGCCAATTGAAATAAATTAATAAATACTAAAAAAACAAATGAGTAGCATAAATTAAACAAAAACCCCTGCAAACTTACATCAAAAACAATGACTTTGTAATTGGATACAAATTGAATAAAATCATAAATCAACTACAAACTGACGGCAACAAACTATTTATGTATTTAAACACTAAAAACAAAAGGCAAACAAAAATAAAAAATATAGCTGAGCAAACAAAACGCATTAGTGGCTGACAGAAGTTTATGAGAATACATGTAAAATGAATAATGGAATGCATTGTTAAAATAGCATAATTGAAATTGTTATAATACATAGATAATGATTAAAGCAGTAGTAAGCAGTAACAGCAACAAAAGCAACACAAACCAACGTACTACAATAACGGCACAATGCGAACAAAAACTAATGTAAGAAATGAGTTTATCTACAAAAATATTTAAGCACACATTCACAAGGCAAATATATGTATGTATATATGTACGTTTGTATGTATTTGTTTGTTTGTAGCTGTAAAGAAAATAATTAAAATCAACGCAAATGATAGCCAAACGCTAATGTAGAAAATAGAAAGAGAAAAGCCGACATTTTTAGAAATGCAAGCGAAAATGGGAAACAAAAACAAAAACCAAACAACTAAATTGAAATAAAATGTGAGCATTTTCAAGAGGCGTTGAATGACAGCAGTCAAAACAACAGCAAAAGCCTTAAACCCGAACCACACAACAATCACCACTGGATAATGGAACCTGAACTATTTAACTACAACTCACCACCAGAATTGGCAGCCAACATCCCACCTAAAATACGAGTATCTAATGCGGCTCAACGCTCTAATCTCAATTTTCTATTTTATGTATGTATTTTTGTGTGTACATATGGATATATAAGTATATATATATATGGGTATCTATGTATGTATCAAAATAGATATATGTATGTATATGTTTGCTTGTAAATGCAATGCCTAATAAAATGTTGGTTTGCTTGCGGCAGCTTAACACGCAGCCCCTTACGGTGGTAGAGGATAGCAAACCAACAACTCTACTACTATGTATGTATGTATATGTATAAGTTACGTAACAAATCATCATTTGGAATGTAGCAACTTTTCGCATTTGTTAAAATAGTTGCACAAATTATGGCACAAGTTGTTATGACAATTGGGAATTTGGGAATGGGCAAAAGAGTATAGTATATTTTGAAAACGTAAAAAAAAAATATTGAAAAAGTGCTGGCTCTTAACAAAAGAAAAGGTTTAAATAAGTAAATGAAAGCAAAACTTTCAACTAATAACAGAGCTTATGTTTTATTTGCAAAAGTGCTGATCTGGCGGCAGCAGTGAAACGTAAAGATATTTCAAAAGGATTATTATCTGAGTCTTGCAAAGCACTGGCACGGTGCACGGATTTCACGGTTTGCAAAGCTGTCCCATACGAAAAGCGGTTTTTACCGTGGAATCTGTGCAATCTGTACACCGTGCAAGGGCTTTGCAAGACTCAGAGAAGACCCCTAAGGTTTTTGGGAAAAGGTGATAAAAAATAAAATTAAAAAAGGAAAAGGCAAAACTCACTTAAGGTCAAATGGAAAATAACCAATTTTTTTATTTGATGACCAAAAAAATTTGCATGTCAAAATAGCAGTGACCCAAAATAAAAATTATTTCCTGATGGAGCTTTAAAAAGTCAACCAAATTTTTGTAAGAATTATAAAATTATGAGAGAAAAATTTATTA